TTTTTTTATAATTATTATTTCAATTAAAAATTTTACTTCTAAATACATTAACTTTTTTTACTTAAAAAAATAAAATATAAAAAATAGCTTAAAAAATGTGAACAAATTGTCATGGGTATTTGTTGTGAAAAATGTAAACCAGTCAATATGAATATTTTTTAACATTAACATTGATAAGAGTGAAAGTTGTTACTATGACTGTTAATGTTAAAAAATAGCTTAAAAAATGTGAAAAATGTACCTGAGTGGAAGTTGTTATGATGACTGTTTGGTAATGTACCCTTCTCAACTGTTTCGTTTGGCTTTTTATTAGAAAAATGTGAACGGAAATATATTTGGTTTCAATTTCAAAATTAGTTTTTTAAAATTTGTTTGAAAAAATAAAAATAAACACTAAAATAATATTTTTGAAATTTTAAAACATTATTTTTGCTCCAAAAAAATATAAAACTATATAAAAATTAGGAGTGGAAGTATGTATTTATTTTCACTAAATTAAATTTTAATTTCCTTTTAAAAAATTAAAAAATAAATTTTAATATCCAATTTTACACTCATAATATTTGGCCAATTTTACACTCCTATCAATGTTAATGTTAACATATCAAAGTGAATATTCACAATGTCACGGGTCGGCCTGCGGTCGGGCTTCGGGCCGCCCACGGGTTGCGGGCCAATTTTACACTTTTATCAATGTGAATGTTAACATGTCAATGTAAATATTCACATTGTCAACGGGCCGGGTCAGGCCCGTCCTGGGCCGCTGGCCAATTTTATACTCTTATCAATGTGAATGTTAACATGTCAATGTGAATATTCACATTGTCAACAAGCCGGACTGGGCCCGCCCACGAGCCGTGGGTGGGTTTCGGGCAGCCACGAGGCACGGGCTAATTTTACACTCCTATCAATGTGAATGTTAACATGTCAATGTGAATATTCACATTGTCAACGGGCCGGGCCAGGCCCGTCTTGGGCCTCGGGCCAATTTTGTACTCTTATCAATGTAAATGTTAACATGTCAATGTGAATATTCACATTGTCAACAGGCCGTCCCGGGCCGCCCATGGGCTACGGGCGGGTTTCGCACCCCACGAGACACGGGCAGATTTTACACTCCTATTAATGTGAATGTTAACATGTCAATGTGAATATTTACATTGTCAATGGGCCGGGCTCGCCCCGGCCCAACTCGAATTTTTCCGGGCACCCACGAGTATCAACATGGGGCGGGCCCCTACACATTGACGGTGTGAACATTCACATTAGGGGTATTTTGGTAATTATGTCACCCATAGGACTTACTGAAACATAAGAAAATAATGTGAACTAAATGGAACATAAGTAGATGAAAAGGGTATTTTGGTCTTCTTACCTCAAATAGGAACATTCACACTGACGGTGTGAACATTCACACTGACGGTGTGAACATGTTAAGGAATAGTCAAAAAGAATATGGGTTGGATGGAAATAACTCTTAGAAAGTGGATTTATCCAAAAAGCTCCCAAAAATTAATTATAATATAAATAAAAAATGACAAATAAAAAGTATAATGTATATATTAACTTTTTCTTTTTCAATGGACTTGTTAATATTTTGCAACAAAATTTCATTTTTGGAGGCAAAATTTTTTTGTTTCTAAAACTTTTATATGCTATTGTTATAAATCACAACATCATTTTTCTCTCTACATGACTAAGCAATTATTAATGAAAATGGGATTAACTGTTGTTTGAATTAAAATAGTAAGAAAATTTGATATAATTATCTCAAATTTGTGGAATTTGTTTATATCTTTTTTTTTAAATCTCAAGAAATGTCACTGTAATTATCAACAAACAAAAAATAAAATAAAATACAAGAGGCATCTATTGAATTTTAGGAGGGGAAAAACATGTCACAAATTCATTTTGCTCCGCACCAAAGTGAGTTGTGGCCGTAAGTCTATTAAATAACTCTTCTCTCTCTTTTATGTACAACCAAATGAAAGTGAGATTTTCATGGTTTGAGGAGGCTGTTATTCATTGTCTTTGAAAGGAATAAAATGAGATGTGTCAATTTGGCAAAAGATCCTCCAATTGGAAGACAACAAACTCCAAGTAGGAGCAGTTTATTCCATCTTTGTCAGTTGGTATTTCAAAATGAGGAAAATATAAGAGACAAATTATTGTCGTCACTAAAAAGTCATCTAAAAAAAGTCAAAAAAAGAGATGTTTAAGGATAGTTTTAAAATATTACTAATAAATATATTTTAGAAACCAAATTTTGATTTTGAAAGGATATAACTCATGTAGGTCATAATAGGTAAACTTATTGTCTAATAAGTCCTATGATAATTAATGACATTTTTCATCGAACACTATTAAAAAACATCACTAATTATTAATTTTCAGTGACAGTTGAAAATTGTCATAAAAAACAATATCACTAATTATAAGTTTTAGTGACAGTTTAAAAACAATCGTCACAAAAAAAGGATTACTAATTTTTAATTTTTAGCGACAGTTTTAAAAATTGTTC